TCTCAGGTGGGATCATTCCTTGACATGGCACCCAACACCAACGAAGCTCTGGTGGAGAAGGTCACTTCAAATGCAAGATACTGGTATGACGAAAGAACTCCAGCAGCAACAAAACCAGGTTATCTTGAAGTTGACCAACTCACGGCCTTAACAGCAAAGATTGAAGGGTTGGTCGTGGAAGTAAAGAATCTGAAGAATGAAAACAATCACACCAACCAAGTCAACAACATCGGTGCTGTCCCGAATCAACAATCATCCCGATACTTCGGGAACTCAAGCTCTGTCCCACAGTCATCTCAATTTAATACTTTTTCACCTGTTTCCCATTCAACTGAACTTGTACTCTCTTGTGAGATATGTTTTGGTCCACATTTGACCAATTCATGTCAATTAGTTGATGAATGTAATCTAAGCAACAACAGGGAGGTGAACCTGCTGGAGTATGGCCGAACAAAACAAGAAGGGCCATGGGCGAATCAAGGCAACCGGGGGGGTAACTCCAACTACCCTCCTCAGAATTTCCAAGGAAGGAATTACCAAGGTAACCAATGGCGGGGGGGATTACAACAATGGTCCTCCACGCGGCGGTTATCAAGGTAATCAAAACTACTCCAACAACAATCAAAGCAACAACTTCCAGAGTCGGAACCAGGGAGGTGCACCGGCCCAACAGAACAACCAAGCTTATGTGCCTCCACACCAACGACAAACGGAGGCTGCCCAGCCATCAGAGATAGGCTTGTTGGTAGCAGAACTGGCAAGGACACGGGAGGAAATAACAAGATACAAGGCCAGCACTGACAATCAGATCAAAAATCTGATGATGCAAATTAATCAGAACAATGTTCCTGGTCGTCAGCCAGGCAACTTGCCTAGCACCACGGAACCAAACCCCCGTGAACATGTGCAAGCCATCACTCTTCGAAGCGGGAGACAAACAACAGTGGCTGAGCAGAAAGACAAGGAAGAGGAAGGTACCCCGACCATGGAACCTGAGAAACAAACTGATGCTCCAACTGAGAAGAGCATGGAACCAACACGCCCTAACACAAGGGTCACTATCGTCAAACCTTCTCTCCCGTTTCCTTCACGGGTTAGAAATGATGACGATAGCAGGAAGTACAACAAATTCCTGGACCTACTCAAACAACTCCACGTCAACCTGCCGCTGATGGATGCCTTAGCGGAGATGCCCAAATATGCCAAGTTTTTCAAAGACTTGCTGACAAACAAAAGGCAGCTGCAGGAGCTCTCAGTCGTGGACTTGAACGCAGAATGCTCGGCCGTGGTTCTGAGGTCAATACCCGAAAAGCTAAAGGATCCAGGTAGTTTCACTATCCCTTGCTCTATAGACAATTTCAACTTCAATAATGCTCTAGCTGACTTAGGGGCAAGTATCAATCTGATGCCTTCCTCTATAGTCGAGAAGCTAGGACTTGGGGAAATGAAACCCACCAGGATGTGTCTTCAACTGGCTGATCGCTCAGTCAAATATCCGAAAGGAATTGTTGAAGACGTCCTGGTCAAGGTTGACAAATTCATTTTCCCAGTCGACTTTGTAGTAATGGACATGGAAGAGGATAGGGAAACACCTCTTATTCTGGGAAGGCCCTTTCTGGCTACCGCCAGGGCCTTGATTGATGTCACTGATGGCTCATTAACTCTAAGAGTCGGAGATGATCTATGCACCTTCCGACTCTCAGATGTTATGAAACACCCCACAGATTCCTTTCAAGGATGTCATTTTCTTGATACCTTTGAGTCTATTGAAGGGTATCTGTTTGGGGAAGAAAATGGACATGTAACTGAAGAAGCATGTCTGTTAAAAGAAGCCAACAATGATGTGAGTGATGCATGCGAGAGTTGTGAGGATGCGCTGATTGATCAAGCTTCTAACGAAGTATTGATTGAGTTTGAGGGGGAGAAAAATGAACAAAACTTGAAAAACGACCACCCCCTCGAACTAAAGAAACTGCCCGACCACTTAGAATATGCATTCTTGGATGACGAAGGCAAATGCCCTGTCGTCATCGCCGCACACTTAAGTGAGGAACAAAGGGAGAAATTACTTGGAGTCCTTAAGACACACAAGCAAGCAATTGCTTGGAAACTTGAGGACATCAATGGAATTAGCCCCACCTTTTGTACCCACACCATCAAAATTGAGGAAGGGTTTAAACCAGTTGTCCAACCACAACGACGTTTAAACCCAAACATGATGGAAGTAGTGCGTGCCGAGATTGTCAAACTGCTGGATGCGGGTATCATTTACCCCATCTCTGATAGCCAGTGGGTAAGCCCTATTCATGTTGTCCCCAAAAAGGGGGGAATGACCGTCATGAAAAATGAAAAGGGCGAACTTCTACCCAGTCGAACTGTTACCGGGTGGCGAATGGTAATCGATTACCGCAAACTGAACGAAGCCACCCGGAAGGACCATTTTCCCCTTCCCTTCATCGATCAATTAATAGAGAGGTTGGCAGGCCATAGTCACTACTGTTTCCTGGATGGCATGAGTGGATACTTCCAAATCCATGTCAACCCGGAAGACCAAGACAAAACTACGTTTACATGCCCTTTTGGGACCTTTGCTTTTCGTAGGATGTCTTTTGGTCTCTGTAATGCCCCTGCCACCTTCATGAGGTGCATGATTGCCATTTTTGAAAAATACATTGGCCACTTCATGGAGGTATTCATGGATGACTTCTCTATTTTTGGGGAAACGTTTGAAAAATGCCTTGAAAACTTGGAAAAAGTACTTATCCGCTGCAAGGAAACCCATTTAGCCCTAAGTTGGGAGAAATGTCATTTCCTTGTGAAAGAGGGTATAGTACTTGGACACAAGGTGTCAAGTAACGGGGTAGAGGTGGACCGTGCAAAAATTGAGACGATAGAGAAACTTCCTCCACCAACCACGGTAAAAGCCATCCGCAGCTTCTTAGGACACGCGGGCTTTTATCGTCGTTTTATAAAGGATTTCTCTAAAATTGCAAAACCTCTCACCCGGTTACTTGAAAAAGATGCGGTTTTTATATTCTCTGATGAATGTCACCATGCTTTCCAAGCACTTAAAACACAACTGATCAATGCACCGGTGCTTGTGGCCCCAGATTGGAGTTTACCCTTTGAACTCATGTGTGACGCTAGTGACTTAGTAGTGGGGGCCATTCTTGGTCAAAGGAAGGACAAGAACTTCCACCCAATCTACTACGCTAGCAAAACTCTGTCAGGGCCACAACTCAACTACACTACCACCGAAAAAGAATTCCTTGCTATTGTTTGTGCTTTAGAGAAGTTTAGGACTTACATCATTCTTTCGAAGGTTATTATCTATACCGACCATTCGGCCATTAGATATCTCCTCCAAAAGCATGATGCTAAGCCTAGACTGTTACGCTGGGTTCTTTTGTTGCAGGAATTTGATATTGAAATCAGGGACCGAAAAGGGTCTGCTAATCAGGCAGCTGATCACCTCTCAAGGTTAGATGCCGAGTTAGCAGAAACTTTCGGAAAATGCGAAATTGAGGAACTTTTTCCTGCTGAGAGACTGATGGCAATATCCGCCAAGGAACAAACACCGTGGTATGCCGACATTGCCAACTACCTTGTTGGTAAAGTCGAGCCTACCGAACTGACAAGGCACATGAAAAGGCGGTTCCTGTCAGAAGCAAAGCACTATTTTTGGGATGATCCATATCTATTCCGAATTTGTGCTGACCAGGTGGTGAGAAGATGTGTTACTGAAGCTGAGGCAAAGGACATTCTGGAGCATTGTCACAGCGGTCCTACTGGAGGCCACTTTTCAGGGAATAGAACCGCAAGGCGGGTTTTGGACTGTGGGTACTTCTGGCCCACGATTTTTAAAGATGCTAATGAATTTGTTTCCTCTTGTGATAACTGTCAACGAATCGGGAACATTTCTGGGCGCAATGAGATGCCCCAACACTTTATCTTACCTTGTGAGGTATTTGATGTTTGGGGTATCGACTTTGTTGGACCTTTCCCAAGCTCAAGAGGAAACAAATACATTCTTGTGGCCATTGATTATGTTTCTAAATGGGTTGAAGCCCAGGCCTGTGTCACCAACGACTCTCGAGTAGTCGTGAATTTTCTGAAAAAGCTCTTTACCAGATTTGGTGTGCCTAGGGTTTTGATCAGCGATAGAGGGACTCATTTCCACAATGATCCAATGGCCAGAATTTTGGCCAAATATGGAGTCCAACATCGAAGCGGAGTAGCGTACCACCCCCAGACTCAGGGACAAGTGGAAAACGCTAACAGGGATTTGAAGTCCATTCTGGAGAAAACTGTTGCCCAGACCAGGAAAGACTGGTCAACTAAACTTGACGACGCTCTTTGGGCATTTCGGACTGCTTACAAAACCCCGATCGGAACCACACCTTTTCGCCTTGTATACGGGAAGTCTTGCCACTTACCCGTCGAACTCGAGCATAAAGCACTTTGGGCGATGACAAATGTCTGTTTTAAACTGGATGCTGCAGGGAAGGAACGATTTTACCAGCTGAATGAACTGGAAGAGTGGAGAGCGCAAGCTTTTCATAATTCTAAACTTTACAAAGAACGGGCCAAACTCTACCATGATCAACACATCAAGGCTCGTGATTTCAATGCTGGAGATAAAGTGCTGTTATTCAACTCCCGGTTGAAGCTCTTTCCAGGAAAGCTTAAGTCAAGATGGTCCGGACCGTTCAAGGTCATAAAAGCTTACCCCTACGGAACCGTTGAGATTGAAGATGCTAATGGGGGTCCCTTTAAAGTCAACGGCCACCAACTTAAACTCTACCATGGTGGCCCGATTGAAAAAAGCAAGGAGATTCTCTATCTCCAAAAATTTTGAACCAAGGGAGGACATTCGTCAAGCTAGTGACGTTAAAGAAGCGCTCATTGGGAGGCAACCCAACCAAAAAAAAAAAAAAAAAAAAAAAAAAAAAAAAAAAAAAACTAACCCAAAAATATTTTACTTTGTTTATTTCTTGCAGATGTCTGGAGGAAGACGTGACGATCCCATTTTCGAGGAGCCACCACTAGGACGGGAAGACCCGCCGCCACAGCCTGATATCCCCTTTGCTACTATTGCTGATCGCAGACGCTTCCAGGCATGGGGGCAATATCGCACACTCCTTCCTCCCATGATCCTGGACCCGACGATGCTAGAGGAATGGGGGGTACTGGGATGACATTGATGCCCTGCTAGGAGACTCTTTATGGCGGAGGATTCTATTCGTTCAGGAGAGGGCCAGCCTTCCATTGACGATGGAGTTTCTGTGCTCCGTTCAGTTCACTCATTACGGACAGGCTGTGCAGGAGGGTGCTGTTATTGGGTCAGAGTCTCGGATGAGGTTTACTATTCTAGGCATGGAGCACTCCATCACTGTGGCTGAGCTCGGATGGAGGATGGGGCTCTATACCCCAGCATACACACAGACTGAGGAGTTCCGTGCTCTTCCGACCCGCTTACCCGAGGCATTTGACATTGATGAGTTTTGGCACAGACACTCCACAGACACCAGATCATTTCTCCGGATGCACCCCCATTCGAACAAATGGAGGGCGACTCACTGGTACATACTCTCGTTCGTACTTTCTTGTGGTTTTTTTGGACGACCTAACAACACAAACAGGTTGTCCAAAAAGGACATACTATTCTTTTGGAGTTTGATTCACCGCATCCCGGTGAATATGGCTGTCCTTATGGCTCGTTTCTTCCGGAGCCAGGGGAAGACTGTGCGGCGCACTATCCAGGCAGGGCCTTTCATCACTACTCTCGTTAGATCATTCTACCCAGATCTAGACATTCCAGGACTAGTGCACTTACAGGATAGCATCCGCGTTCTTCGATCCTCATCCTTTACCAACATGAGGATCAAGAAGAAGCGGAACACTCAGGAGCTCCCAGGTATTGAGCAGCCGACCCAGCAGAGTAGTTCTTCTCGACCCTCAGGACATGAGGGATCTAGCGAGCCCTTTTCATACATGCCTAGCGCCACAGATTGGAGAGCGATGATGGATGGGATGCGGAGTCTCCAGACTTCAGTTTCAGAGATGCGGGTTGTACAGGACAGAGGACTCCAGGAGATGCGAGAGGCGCATGAGACGGCCCTGGGAGAGTTCAGAGACTTTCGATTAGCTCAGGAGAGAGCCACCCAGGATATGCAGGCGGAGCTAGAGACCCAGAGGCTAGATATTGATGAGATGAGAGATTGGCTTAGGCCACACTATGGCCCCCAGGATGGCGCAGGCGATGTTTAGATTTGCTTCTTCCTTAACATTTTTATCATGTTTGTTTGTTCTTCAGGTTGGACATTGCGCTGCTCTTTTGACTTGAATGCTCTTACAAACTGACTATGGATGATGTAAGGATTTTTAAAACCATTTTTTCTCCTGTTTCATTATTCCTCTTCACAAAATCTTTTCAAAACTCAAGTGTGAGGAAAGAACCAAAAAAAAAATGTGTGCCTTTATTTCCCAATTTTGTGCCTCAAAAGAAGACCTCGAGGGCGAGGTCCAGCTCAAGTGTGAGGAGGTTGCGTTTTACACTCAAAAGTCAAAGCCTTGTTTTAGAACAATCTTTTTACTATTTTTGATATGAAACATTAATTTCTCAATTTGTTATCAAATCACAAAATAGTTTAGAAAATCACCCTTATTATAAGAATTTACTATTATTATTATTTTTGAAAACTTAAAATTGTTATGGGTTTTTGGTTGCGAATGTAAAGGTCTGAATTTGTTTTAATTGGACATTCATTTTATTCATTAAAAAAAATGTTACTATTAATAAACCTCTTCAAAACTCATTGTTATAGGACAATTCCATCTCCGAAAAGGGGCTCTGTTTCATTCGTTAATCACAGTCTGTGAGAATGAAATATGCATTTACCATGGGATAACACCGCCAACAAGAGTGAAAAAGAGCAAAAAAAAAAAAAAAAAAAAAAATGGTGAACAAGATGAATGTCCAAATTAGAATAATGAAAACCTTGGGATAAGGAATTGATTGGTGGTTTAACATAATAAATAGTTTTTCTTAAGTAATACTAATTTTAAACTCTTGTATTTTGGGTGATTTTTCTAAAATGTTTAAAGATTGAGAATAAAAAGAAGAGGTTTTTGTTTCTACTTCTTTAAAATAGCAATTAGATTGTAATACAGTTAGACTTTACCTTTTGAGTGTGTTTACAACTAATTCGTCGCTTGAGGACAAGCAACGCTTAAGTGTGAGGAGATTGATAAGTCCATTTTTGTACTTATTTTTCTTATCAAATTTAAGCGATTTTTGAATAAAAATAGAAAGAAAAGGCATGTTTTAGATATTTTGGTTCAAGTTTCATGAAATCAGGTGAAAATCACATTCATAATATGTTTGCCGGGATTTCGGGTCAATTGAGCACAAAAGGAGTCAATCTGAGTAACAAATGAAGTCATACCGGAAGAAGTAAGCATTTTATCAAGGTGATCCAGAAGGCAATCTTGGAGAGCAAGAAACGCGGGATTTATCAGACGAATTTGGCGGCAGGCGCCCAAATAGGCGCCCAATATGGCCGCCTGGCTGGCCGCCTACGGTATATCAAAGTCAACGCTCCAGTTTGACCCGAACCTATAGAAGACAGAAAGCGGCCGACGGAGGAAGGAAGGCGGCCGCCCTTCGTGGCCGCCTGCGGCACAACGGGACAAGGCCAACCACCGGCCGGTGCGACTTGACGGCAGGCGGCCAGACAGGAACGGCAGGCGGCCGCCGTCTGGACCGCCTGCGGCTGACGTTGACGGGCTCACGTCGACCTGCCGGTGAAGACAACGGAAGGCGGCCAATTTTGGTGGAAGGCGGCCGCCTTCTATGGCCGCCTACGGCTGACGGAGACCAGCCCACGTGTCGTTGCCAGCGAGTTGACGGCAGGCGGCCAGTTGCTGCCGGAAGGCGGCCGCCTGCCCGGGCGCCTTCGGGGAAATTTTTCCTATAAATTGCCCGATTTTTCCTCAACTCAAACACACCTCTTCCAACCCTAAATCAGTTCAAAACACCTTCTTTCTTCCTCCATTTTCGAGCTCCAAAGGGTTTAGAGAGAGAGAAACTTCAAATCTTCATATCTTCTTCATTTTAGCTCCAATTTGTAAGTTCTTTATATGTATTTTCATCTTCTCAACGAGTAGAATCTGAATCTGCACTTTGTTTGTTCAATCTGTTCTTCTAAAATTTCCAGATTATTTTTCAAGTATTTCGCATTTACTTCCAAAAATTAAATAAAATAGTTATTGTTGTTGAATTCATTCCAATTAATTATATAGTTGTTCACTAGCCTCAAGGTAGTTATTTATCTGAAGAAATTAATTTTTCACGAAGCATAAGTAATTTTTAATTAATTTTGGTAATTATTTGAGATTAGTTCATAATTTAGAATAAATACTAGAAAAAATGAAAAAAAAATTAGTTCGGCCTTAATTTCAGTTTGATTCATAGTAATATCACTCCCAGTAGCTAAAATAAAATTTAAAACGAAGTTAGCATATTTTTAGTTGCTTTTTGCATTTTTTTTGTTAAAATTGGGAAAATTATCAATTAGTTGTTAAAATTGGATTTTAGGTTCAAAAATTGGTGAAAAATTCCAGAAAGTTATATTTTAGTTCCTACAAGTTTATTGTTCCAGAATATAATTTTTGTTTGATGTTTGCTATCATACATGTTTAATTCCTTGTTAATGTTGAATTTAATCATTATGTTGTTAATTGCAAAAATGATAATGAGTAGCTAAATTTGTTAGGGCATGAATTGAGAAAAGGAATATGGATTGACTTGTTGACCTAAAATTAGGGGTTAAGATTAATAAATTGGACTAGTTGTTTAAAATGATGAAATAGTAATTAATAATAGTTAGCCATTTTCATTAATTAAATTCTTGGAAAATTAATTCTAACTTGTCTATGAGATTAGAAATTAATTTGAGCCAACCATATTTGAGCACATTAATAAGGCCTAGAAATAGGATAATTTAATGAAAAGGATTTACATCTTGTCTATGAGAAATAAATTCAATTGCTAAAATAAAGAGTTTAACTAGTTAATGAATTTGGCTATTTTTATTAATTAAAGTATTGGAAAATTATTTCTACCTTGTCTATGGGTTTAGAATATAATTTAAGCCAACCATTTTAAACACATTAATGATACCTAGAAATAGGGTAAATTAATGAAGATAGTTTCTATTCTTGTCTATGAGGAAAGAAATTATTAGTCCAACTTTAGTCTTAATTTCCCTAATTAAGAGGTCCAAGAACATATCCATTTCTAATTACTCAATTCATTGCCCTTATTTGCATCCTTGAATATTCAATATTTATACATTAATCTTTAAATTGCACCTTGCTCCTAGTTATAATTTAGCGTAATATAGAACAAAATCACTTTCCTATATTGAAAAAGCTTCCAACAATTAGCGATAGCCCGTGACTAAAATTAAATTAAGAAACTTCTCCGCCATTCCTCAAGAGACACGACACTCGGGGAAAAACCGAAAGGTTAGACTCCGTTTTACTACAACGCCGCGAAAGCGGTTATCAATGATTATTCCAGATACACTTGGACCGTATTCCTAAAGAAAAAGAATGAAACAGAGAAGAAACTTCCAGAACTGATGAAACTAATTCAAAATGAGAAAAGTCTCTCAATCCAAAAGATCCGGTCAGATAGAGGTACTGAATTCCTTAACTCTATAGTAATTCAGTACTGTGAAGAAAATGGAATCCATCACCAAACTTCAGCAGCAAGAACACCTCAACAAAATGGTGTTGCTGAGAGAAGGAATAGGACACTCAAGGAAGCCGGAAGGACAATCTTAGAAGCAGCTGGTCTACCCAAAAGATTTTGGGCAGAAGCCATCAACACTGCTTGCTACACACAGAATAGAAGTCTCATTCATAAGACTTACAAAAAGACTCCATATGAACTATGGAAAGAAAGAAAGCCTAATGTTAGTCATTTCCACGTGTTTGGATCCAAATGCTTCATTCTAAACAATGGAAAAGACTACCTCAAGCCATTTGATCCCAAATCTGATGAAGGGATCTTCCTGGGCTACTCAGCAACAAGCAAGGCATTCCAGATCCTCAACAAAAGAACTCAGGTGGTAGAAGAATCAATCCATGTGGTTTTTGAAAACCACTCCACTGCTCAATCAAAAGAAGAAGGTGAGTCATCCAACTTAAAGAAGGACACTGAAAAGGCTCCAAGCTGCCTTCCAGGAAATGATAAAGAAAAAATAGCTGAATCTAATGTCAATCCACGGCCAGCAGTTGACTCCACTGTCAGCCCACTGCCAGCAGGTGACTCACCAACAAACATCCTTCCAGGCCTTCATGAAATCCCTAATCACCCTATTCTACCAGAAGAAAGTGAAGAAGAAGAAGAAGAGGAGGATGATGACCAACAAAATCAAACCAGCATCGATCAAACATCTGACATTAGATGGTTGAATCAACATCCTCCACAACAGATCATTGGAAACATCCATGAAGGGGTTCGTACCAGATCAGCAACTCAAAAAGAAGCACTATTCTCATGCTTCATCTCTCAAATAGAACCCAAGAAAATTGAAGAAGCCCTTCTTGACTCTGACTGGATACAAGCCATGCAAGAGGAACTCAACCAATTTGAAAGAAACAATGTGTGGGAGCTTGTATCCAGACCCTATCATCAACATGTGATAGGAACCAAATGGGTGTTCAGAAACAAGATGGATGAGGAAGGCACAATTATCAAGAACAAGGCAAGACTAGTAGCCAAAGGTTACTGCCAGGAAGAAGGTATAGATTTTGATGAAACCTTTGCTCCTGTTGCTAGACTTGAGGCTATAAGAATATTCTTAGCCTATGCTGCCCATAAGCAATTCACTGTCTATCAAATGGACGTAAAAAGTGCATTCCTAAACGGTCTACTAGAAGAGGAGGTCTATGTGGAGCAACCTCCTGGTTTTGAAATCAATAGAGAGAAGGATCAAGTCTACAAGTTACACAAAGCTCTATACGGACTCAAGCAGGCCCCAAGAGCATGGTATGACACTCTCTCTGAGTACTTAGTAAATAATGGATTCACCAAGGGCAAAGTAGACAAGACTTTATTCAAAATTGAAGAAGGTCCTCACATATTGCTTGTTCAAATCTATGTTGATGACATAATTTTTGGAAGTTCAAATCAAGCATTGTGTGAGAAATTTTCAACTCTCATGCAAAGCAAGTTTGAAATGAGCATGATGGGAGAGTTGAATTATTTTCTGGGACTACAAGTGAAGCAAACTCCCAATGGTATCTTCATCAACCAAGCCAAATATACAAGGGATCTCATGAAAAAGTTCAAGGTTGAAAACAAGTCAACTGTGAAAATACCCATAAATACATCCCAAGGCCTAAGTCAGGATGAAGATGGCAAAGATGTTGATCCCACCCTGTACAGAGGTCTGATTGGCTCCTTGTTATATCTCACCACTAGTAGGCCAGATATCTCCTACTCAGTTGGTGTATGTGCAAGGTTTCAATCAAAGCCTAAGGAAAGTCATCTTCTAGCTGCCAAGAAGATTTTGAGGTATCTAAAAGGCAATCCTAACTCTGGACTATGGTACCCAACAAATGGAGGTTTTGAACTCTATGGTTATTCAGACTCTGACTTTGCCGGATGCAAAATTGATAGAAAAAGCACCTCAGGAACTTGTCAATTAATTGGTGGAAGACTTGTCTCTTGGTTCAGCAAGAAACAGAATTCAATTGCTACTAGCACTGCCGAAGCAGAATACATAGCTGCAGGCAGCTGCTGTGCTCAAATACTATGGATGAAACAGCAGTTGAAGGATTATGGAGAAGAAACAAAGGAGATTAGCATACTGTGTGATAACACTAGTGCTATTGCTATCACTCATAATCCAGTCTTTCATTCAAGAACCAAACACATTGAAATCAGACATCACTTTATCAGAGAGCATGTTGAAAAGAAGACCATCAAGCTTGAGTACATCCCTACGGAAAAGCAGTTGGCTGACATCTTCACCAAGCCATTGAATGAAGCTAGATTCAACCAACTAAGGCAAGAACTTGGTATGTTAGATGATCTAGATCAAGCAAAGGAATAACCCTGCATCTATTGAGGGGGAACCTTATTCCAAAATCGAGGGGGAATTCCTAGCCATCTGTTGAGGGGGAACTATCAGAGGTATCCATCTCAGGCTACTCACAATCCAAAAGGAATGAAGCAACAAGGTCCAAGAAAGTCGATATCAGGCTTTCAAATATTGCAAGGTATTAAAATTCGAGAGATTGGCTCAGCAGTGGACTGCATTCTAGCAAGCAGCTGGCTCAGCATGTGCCTGACAACTAGCCCACTACTGCCCACATAAGGAGAAGGAGTGCATTAATACTCTCTTAGAGTCAAAGACAACCCTGGCTCAGAAGCTCGAGCAGATGCCTTCCAGCAGATGCCTGCCCCAGGAGCAGGTCCCTACTTCAAGCCAGCAGTTGGGTCAACTATTGACCAACATACATGGAATCAGAATACGTGGTATACACCATCTTGATCCCCACATATCAAGGATTCCACAAAGGCACTTTTCGATCTAAAACAACAAATCTAACCATAAATGAGCCTCATGTGTGAATACATTCAATGCTGAAAAAGCCAGCCGTCTTCTCCAACGGCTATATCTCAACGGCTAGTTCCGGATAACCTATAAATGCCTTATCCGTACAATCCTTGAACACTTTTCACTTTACAATCTTTCTCTACCTATTCTAAAGCACTCAGACTCTCACTCTACCTTCTCAAAAGCTCTCAACCTTCACCACCGCACTCTCAACATTTTCATTTCACCATCACAAAATACGAAAA